GTGGGTAACTATTGAGCTCATAGGCATGAAGAACAGACACAAAGTATACTTGGCTGACATTGAAGACCAATGAATATTAGGGTTGGACTACTTACTACTGAGGAAATTTATGATTAATTTTGATAAAATGACGTTTGGGAACAACAAAGGCCAAATTCCGGTAACTGTTAAAAGAGAGGTTGAACTAACCAGGTGCCATCACGCTGAAGTCAAAGTGACTGAAGGAGTTGATAATGGTGAAGTGGAATCAGGTATAGATATTTAAGCAGAACAGGAGAAAGATCAAGATTTGAAGTCAATAATTGATTTTCTAAAAGCAAGTGTTTTGTGCCCTGCTTGGGAGAAGGCGTCTAGTCTAAGCCCTGTGACAAAGAACTATTGGGCACAATGGGACCAGTTGAAGCTTGAAGATGGGAAACTGATGACCTGGCAAACAGTTATACCGAGAAAGTTATGGGAAGTTGTGCTGCATCAATCCCACGATAGTTTAAGAGGAGGACATCTCAAAGTTAAGAAAACATTGAGTCACCTACGACAGAAATTTTACTGGATAGGTATAAGGCAAGATGTGGAAGAATGGTGCAGGACATGCAGTACATGTTGTGCTAAAAGGGGACCCAAGCATAAGGGATGTGCTCCAATGAAGTTATATAGAGTTGAAGCACCAATGGAAAGAGTAGCCGTTGACATTGCTGATTTTTTCTTTAGATTTGGTATACCATACGAACTGCCGTAGCTTTGAATCAGCTATGTTCAATAAATGCTGCAAGTTGTTTGGCATACTAAAGACTACGACAATGCCACTCCACCCACAATTTGATGGGATGATAGAAAAGTACAATTGGACACTTGGATAGGAATTGGCAAAGTTTTGTAATAGCTGTCAAGATGACTGGGATGTCTTACTACTTCCACTGTTGATGGCCTATAGAACAGCAGAGCATGAAGCCACTGGATACACTCCAGCAAAGTTGATGTTTGGTCGGGATCTTCGATTGCCAGTGGATCTGTTAACATGATGCCCACCTTACAAAGAGTTGCCTGAAAATGTGTCAAAGTTTGTGAAAGTGTTATTGGAAAGGATGGATAATATTCACCATCAAGTGCATTCAAACTTGAAAACGTCTGCTGATTCGATGAAGTTATGTTATGATAAGAAGTCTACTGAAATCAGCTTTGTACCAGGAAGACCAAAGGGAAGTCTCCTAAGTTGTCTTCTTCATGCGAAGGCCCATATGACACAGTGGATTGGCTCTCAGACGTGACTTTCAGAATAAAATGTGGTTGGCAAGGTAAGCCAAAGGTGGTGCATGCTAACAGGCTTTGGCATTCTCACAGTCCAGGACATTTCAGTTAGGACGAAGTGAACAAAGGAACAAAAGACGCTGCTGAAAACGTGTCACCTGGAGAAGACACTGTCGAAGAAGAAACTCTACTCGGTTTTGAAAAGGGAAACAGTGAAGCCCTTGATGAAGTTACTACCACTGATGTGACTGTTAATGAAGATAGGACAATTCCCGATGGAGCAGATGAACCTCACGTGAAGCAGAAGCCAACAAAATGGAGACCAGTACGGAAGAAGATACGTCCCGTAAAATTAAGAGACTTGTTGAATTTTAATTTTGTGTTTGTAAACTCTGTACATTTAATTAAGTTATTGTTAATTATCTATTGGTTTAATGTAAGTGGCTATTGTTCGGGATGAATAATACTAAGGAAGGAGCAGTGTTACGACAGCGGAATTCACGTGACGCTAGTAACACGTCATGATATTCTAGAAGAATCCTGTTGGTTCGTGGCAACTCTGGTCTTTTCTATGCGCCCTCTATTCTTGTATATAAGTGTGCCAGATAAAGCGAAATTAATTAATCAGAGAATAGAATTGCAGACAGACAGAGACGGACAATTGAGTCAAGTGCGGTAGTGACTGTAAGTACAGTACGTGAATCGTTGTGAATTATAGCGTGCGTTTAAGTTAAAGTGACTGTGGAAATTAAGTGTATTGCAAAGTTGAGTTGAGAAAAAAATAAACTAGTTTTATTTAAGAAAGGACTTGTATCGCTGAAGTTTCTCAGAAAGAATTTCTATGGAAAATTAACACACGACCAGAGACGTAACAATAGGTTAAAAAAATGTCATTACTATTCAGAGCACCAACTCTCATGAATATAAACCAGACAACTCTTTTTAAATGAAGGATAATGGCAAGAAAACTGAACACAGTATTGTGAACTTTATGTGGATATGCTTTTTTATTGGTTATATACACATCCATCAGCCACATAAAGCTGATCAGCAAATAATCTCAAAAGTCAGAGAGAAGGAGGGAAAGGGCTTTTCTGGTAGGTTTGAGAAATTTATTGATATCTCAGCAAATAAGGAAGGTAGGAGGTTCAAATTTTAGAATATTCCTTATAGATATGTATCATTGGTATTACTAACTGGTTAGAAACTACAGCAGCTCATCTTAAAAGTTATAAAATTCTGAAGTGGGGAAACTGGAGCTGAGACTTCACATGAAATAAATATAAAAGTTAAATTTTTTTTAAATATTCCTTTTTGATATGAAAAATTAAATCAAAGATAATAAAAATATTTGAATTTTAAACTATGTTTTCATGTCAATTTACTGACATACACTTATAATAAAGTAAATTCATTAGATTTTGTATGTAACACTGTAAAAGGCCATGACACGTATTCTGACACGGTCATATAGAAAGAGTTTACAATGCTATGTTCAAAAAAACATCTTTCAGCATCCTGTGGATGAACGCCATGGTATATTCACACTATTAACTCTTTCAACACGGGCTTGTTCAATTTGACCAACCACATAACCTCTTAGAACTTGTTTGATGTCATTATAGATTTAATACTTCTAACTTTCAATATAATGTGTATATCTTCACAAAATTTGGCTCCTTTATAAGTCTTTCCCATTCAAAAAATCATTTTTAGTAAAGTATTTTTAATAAACTAAAATAAAGATTTGTCTATGAATATACTGAGTATTTGTTTTGAATTGTCCATGTGCAAATTAATTTTCATGTTAAGATTAAAAGTACTTTTCTGCGTCTCAAAAATCTCAAATTTCATTTGTGTAATCTCTAAAACCTCCTAAATACATTTCAGATGTTTGTTTTCAGTAAAACTTTATATCTTATCTGTTATTTTCTCTACCCTAACTCTATACAAGGTTGGTCAATTTAACTGACCTTGTAATCCTTCTCCCAAAATATCGAAATAAATCTAAATTACCCTGTTTTTTGTTCCAGAATGACTTTAAATGTAGTGTGAAACTACATTCGTTTATCCTAAGCAGCTTCAAACTCATAACATTAAACATCTATTTATAATTGAATTTTATTGCCCTTTGAATTGTGTCTAACTGCTATCTACGCCATTATAAGTTGTATATCACTTGGGGAATGTGCAGCTCACTTTACACTACTGAATACATTATCCACAAGCTACTACGAGCTGCTTGCATGTGTGCCTCATGAAATATTTTTATTATTTTATTATTTTTTATTTTACGTAATCTTAACTAACCTGTATAGAAGATCCCTATTTTTACATTTTAGTTACTGTTATGATAATAAATAGAGAATAAACATGAAAAAACAAGAAATAAAGTACTTACTCAATCTTGTCGATGACAACCCTACTTTTTTATATCAATGGTA